TAAACCAGTGTGGGTTTAGGTTAGTTAAGATTTAATTTATCTGGTGAAGTTATTAGATTTAGTTAACCTGTTTAAGTTAAACTAATTATACAGTATTAAGCTACCTGTTTATTTAGTTAAAATTAGTTGGGTTAAACCAGTGTGGGTTTAGGTTAGTTAAGATTTAATTTATCTGGTGAAGTTATTAGATTTAGTTAACCTGTTTAAGTTAAACTAGTTATATTAAGCTACCTGTTTTAGTTAAAATTAGTTGGGTTTAACTAGTTTGGAGTTTAGATTATTTAAAATTTAATTTATCTGGTTAAGTTCGTAGATTTAGTTAACCTGTTTAAACTAAACTAGTTATATTAAGCTATCTGTTCATTTAGTTAAAATTAGTTTAGGTTAAACCAGTGTGGGTTTAGGTTAGTTAAGATTTCATCTGGTGAAGTTATTAGATTTAGTTAACCTGTTTAAGTTAGATTAATTACTAGTAAGTCAGCAGAAGTTTAATTTAGGTAAATTAGTCATGATTAACTAGTTTGAATTAGCTTTGTTAAATCTAGTTAACCTGCTGGAGTTGTTGGTTAGATGGGTCTAATTTAGCTTCAGTGATTGAGATTTAGTTGAAGTTTAGTTTAGTCAGTTTAACTAGTTTAATTAACTCATTACAGTTTAATTACAGTAACCTTTTTTATAACCACCAGTCATTTTATTTGGATTTTTTGTCTTATTTTGTCTTTATTTTAGGGAAAAATAACCTAAAAATTCATATTTTTAGGAAAAACTGTGACCTTTGGACCAGGACTGAGCTGCAGGTCAGAACCAAGGCTGACGAACAGAACCGGATCCGGACCTCTGGCTCACCTCTCGGAGCGGGATGATGAGGCGACACAGGTCTTCCTCCCGGCTGTTGAAGCAGATGTAGTTGTTGGAGATGAACAGCTGTCCCGCCACGTGTCTCTTAGCGAACGGCGTCCACAGCGTGCAGTCCGTGTGTCCGTCCAGCCGCTCGTCCTGCGTGAGGCGGAACATGGCCCGGTACTGCTCGTTCTTGGCCCGGGCGTCGAAATCCCTGCAGAGACACGAGARCACCGGGTCAGCAGGTCAGACCCGTCGGAGAACAAGACTCTGCGTTTTCAGACAGAGTGAGACCTCTTCAGGGCGGAGACGTTCTTCAGCGTCTTGCAGGGTTTGGGCAGCGAGCGGTCGGCGGCGAACGCCTCGTTGTCCAGCAGCTGGCGCATGGCGATGTTGGCCAGCTGCTCCATCAGCTTAAAGGTGTCGTTGATGTTGAGGAACATGGAGAAGTAGTGCTTGGTGTGCCGGGTGCTCACGCACACGCTCTCCGGGAACAGCAGCGTGGCATTCTTCTCCAGCTGGATCACCTCGGTCCACGGCACCACCAGGGTCACTGAGGTCACAGAGCAGACAGAAGCATGAGCGCCACGACAAAAACTGTGTTTTTACAGTGTTCTATAAAGTACCACACATATAAAGTACCACACAGTGATACTCGAGTAAAAGTACATATATCTTACCACAAAATTATTTTGGTAAAAGTTAAAGTCTCCTTTATTAATATTACTTGAGTAAAATTCTTAAAGTAGCTGATATTTTTTGTACTTACGTATTTATTCGTGTATACAATCTCATGTATAATACAATCTCATGTATAATACAATCTCATGTATAATACAATCTC